AAAAAAAAAAAAAAAAAAAAAAAATATTCCGACGAGCTGATAACATCCTCCTTTTTTGGAAGTCGGTTAAAAATAACTTGGATACAGTTTTTTTTTACTTTTTTCCTAATTTAACTTAAGTCTTTTTATCGCGCTAAAATGGTTTAAGTTTTTCAATCTGAAGGGATATTACATTTTTTTCCTTTAAGATAATTTTTTAGAATACGTACATATGTCTTATCTTTTCCTCTAACCAGTATTTACAATTGCGAAACTTTTTCAGTGTTTTTCGTTTATTTTTTATTTTATTTTATTTTTTTTTTGTATTCTTACTGCTGCATTTTTATTAAATTAATTAAAAGAATTACTCTAGAAAGTGTGTTGAATTTTTAAGAAAATTTTAATTTTAAGAAATTCAAGTGGTTTTTTGAATTTTTACTTTCAAATGTTGTTGTCATTTTAGGAAAAAGTGTGGGATTCCACACTTGGTTAAAGTCAGGATCCTCTACTTCTAAGAAGACTAGTAATTCGACGATTTGCCAGCTTGTGTATCGCAAATGAAAAACATTTTTGCACATTCGATAGTTTGACATGGCAGCGACGATATATACAAGTTCTCTAAGTTTCCTTCTCCATCAATTTTTTTTTTGTATTAATTTAAAATTATATTTTTTGTTTTATGGTTATAACTACCTCTCTTACTACATATAAACTAATTACTTATTTAAATCGAAAAATTCTTTCCCACAAATCTATTGGCTTAACTCGTGTACTTACTTATGTATGTATGTATGTATGTATGTATACATATGTTTGTACATCTAATATGCACATCTAGTTTGTCTCACGCCTTGCCAAACCCGTCACACTTGCAACAGAAGCTTTCACTTTTGACAAGTCGGTGAGCTTTAACCCTTGAGCGCAGCACTTCCGCCATCAAGTAGAGCATTAACTATTGGCGTATCTCCTTTCGCTTCCTATTTTGTCAAACGCGCAACAATATACCAATTTAAGTTGCTACTTGCACAACAACAGCAATGCATGCGTTCGGTGCTTGTTTTGTTGTTGTAGTTGTTTGTGCCCAAAATTGCTTAACAAGATGATGAATCAACTTAACAAATGCAATAAATAATATTTGCACAGCTAATCTCGCACCAATTCGAATTGAATGCCCAACGAATGACACGTGACCGAGCGAGCGCGCATGTGGCAAGTTGCACGCACGCAAAACAGCATGTGAATGTCACCGAGCTGAACTAAAAGCGCATGTGTGTGTGTGTGTCTGTATGTGCTAAGTAACCACGGCAGACAATCATAGGCGTCGTATAAAAGCCGCCGCTTCACTCACACTGGCGCAGTGGCTTTTGTCGTCAGACGCCAAGGCACGTTAAGCGTTTACAAACATACATACACTCGCATATTGCTGTTATCCTTGCTGGTGTTTGCAGCTGGTGTTTTTTTGTTCGTTTGCATTTCTATTGCTGACACACGCCAATGCCGGCGATGGCGGTGGCGGCGTTACCGGCGGCTGTGTCTTATCAAAGCCGTACCATGCAAAATGCTGACACGCGCGCGACATTCACTTGCAAGTGGCAGGCGCACAGTTATACATACATTTTTTTTTTTACTTATGTATGTATGTATGTATGTAGGTGCATGCAATCAGGCTTTCGCATGTAACTGGGAGACAGGTCGTCAGCCAGCCATTGCATACATTTTGGCACTTATCCACTTGGTGCTTGAAAATTAATCGGTTTTTAAAGTGTAGTGCCTTGAGACTGTAGTTGTCTGCTTGGTCTCAAAGGACACTTCAATGAGGCTATTATGTAAAAAGAATTAAGTGTTGAACTGGACTGGCGAGGTAAGCAAACTTATTCTTTATTGCTTTTGAATTCATTACTTCGAAGTGCGAAAAAAATTGTGTGCTTTGATTTAACGATTTTGTAAAAAATAAAATCCAAACGAAACTCTGAAATTCGAGAAAATTCTCATGGGAAGTTTTTAGTTCAGACGAAATTTGAATAATTAACCAATAAACTCCACTGAATTGAGTGGAAAAAAATTGGATAGGAATAAGCTTTACTGCAGAAGATAGTAGCTTCTTTCTTTTTGTCATAGCTTCATTTGAGTATTTAATCAGTTTAATAGATGGTAGAATATAGTCACACAGTGTGAACTTATGTCCAATAGTTGTAGATGCTTCACACCATAATAGCCATCTCTTCTCAAGCCCTACTAAACGGACTCATTAGCATCCCTTACACCTGTAGCCCGACCCCGTCTAACGAGCTCGATTGCTGGGCCTAATATAAAAAGTGTTGACAATACACAATGTACTCCTTGATCTACGCAGAGCTTAATAAGTTGCTGAAACAACAACAACAACAATCTGACGTTCATTAAATAAAGAACGTCCTTGTATTCCCTTGTCAGACAATTGGTCTCCAGTGCTTAATCTCAGGCTGGCAGTCCCCATTTATTAAAAATTTCCTCTTCATCCATCTTTGATATTGATTTTCTCTTCTGCAAAATTTCCTCTGGTGCTTAAGAAATGGCTTATTTTATTCTCACTCCACCCCGAACTCGTTTTCTTTAAGCGAGTTTAGCTTTTATTTAAATTGAGAGTAAGCTCGGAAGCGATAAACGCTTTTTTTAGTCAACATCTGGATCAGTATTACAAATATAAACTCAATAGGCAATCCGTACGTTGCTTTTTAAATTCTGTAGAAAGTTTAAGTTTAGTTTACCATGGAATATGTTTTGGCCATGACTGATATATGTTGGTAAAAGGTCTCTTTAATCAACACAGTTCTAGACCGGTGGTGATGAATTCCTCCGCCGGGAGTGCAGAGTTTTCCTTGTATACATGTCTAGATTTGAAAATGGTGAAAGCTCTCTCTATCCCTTAGTGCGGCGATGGGCACCGCCTTGACCGCAGGCAAAGCTCTTTTAAGCTTTCTTAACATTTTTGTATAGCTCTATCTGCCCATCGCTGCTTTAGTGGTATAGATCAGCGGTACTTAGAAAAAGCGCTTAGTCCGTGTGCTTCAATAGAAAACCTAAAGAAGGCTTTAAAAAGCTTCTGGGCGCTATATAAATATTTCAGTCGTGACTGATCTAGTGAATCGCTAAAAAATTGTGGGACATGATGCATCCATTAGACAAAGTAGGTAATCAATGGCATCAACAACCAGATATAGCAAGAAAAATCGTGTAAATATTTTGAAGCAAATTTAAGTCCGTTTTTAACTCCTATGTAATGTTTTTCTTTAAAACGTCTTCTACATTTTTTGTATTACTTTTTAAATTTAAACTTTTTTTCATTCATTTCACTCTTTACATTTTCGCCATGTGCCGTGCCAACCGTCTGTTTAAAACCACTTCCACCTTTAGCTTTGCTCCAGCACCAAGCTTGCGCATACCAACCATCCTTGCCCGTCTGCTTCGCTATTCCTGCCATGCGTTTGTGCCATAAAACGAAATGACATGGAATGATTTGGCTGCACTAAAGTCCCTTTGGGGAATACTTTGCAAATACAGACAGGGTAGTAAAGTGTTTGTACCTTTCAAACGTCGAGGCAGTTGATCCTGTCGTACATCCGTAGAAATGCGCGCTCACACACACTTGCACAAATAAAATGCACATAAATATAAAGGGAAAGTGGGATTTATGTAACTGCCTTTGAAAGACAGATTTGCGCAATTTCTTCTTCTTTTTTTTGGCTTTGTGCTTTGGAGTGCACAGATTTCAACCGACAACACTCATTTATCTACATACACTTGCAAACATAGTCAGCTAACTCCTCGTTGCTGTTGTTGGGTGTTGAAAATTTTATTAGATTTGTCAACATTTTATCGTTTGTTGTTGTACGCGTATGTACACTTGAAGGCAGCAATGAATTGTCCTTTAACATTTCCTCTTCGTAATTTCTTGCATATTGTGAGTAAAGTGTGCGCGCGGATATGGGCTGTGTAACGGGATATGTTAAACGACTCGCTTATGATAGATTGCCAATTGCCTTTATTTGCGTGCGTTTGTGTGTGTGTATGTGTGTACTTGGTGGCCGCCCGTTTGTTTCAGTCTTCCCGCTGCAATTGCTGTGGGGTTGTTGCCCGGCTTCGTTGGCTGAGTGGCTGCTTGGGCGGGTGCTTGGCTGGTGTACACTGTACACTCAACTTGTCGCCTCCTGCCTGATGTGGCTCATCTGTTACGAATTAGATTATGCATAATAAAGTTTAATTTATTCGCCAC